CTACAGTGTTGAGTGCATTTTTTTTCCTTTCTGTTACTTCTGGGCATGGCTCTCTATGATAATTTTGTTCTGAGATCCCCCAAGGTATTGTTCTGCTCAGTCATATGAAAAATAAGAAAATAATGCACCTTCATCCCACTTCCACAGACAGGCCATTCATCAGCATAAAAACAACTTTACAACCTAGGAGGAAGATGCTCCATGTGCTGAATAGCTACAAATTTCCAACATGGTTTCCCAAGCCGCAGCAGCCAACAGCCGTGACGGAGCAATACGATACCTAGAAGCACTTGTGCAATGGAAACAAATTGTAGTGTCCAAGCCCAAGGGATGACCTATGATTACCCTCAATTTTTGTAATAGGGGCAGTATATCACTTTCTTAGGACTCTCATTTTCTTCTAGTTACAGATATCTAATTTCTTTTCAGACCACTGAGTTATTTAGATGGTTGTCCTTGAAATGCTTTCCCCGGCTTTATCATCTGCTCATAAGAACAGCATTTGCCCATTTAAACAAAACATGGGACTGATAGAAAGAAGTCAGAGATTTCTTCTCCTTGCATGTCCAATAGCATTCACCAATAATGAACCCAAAGTTTTTGGGAGTGATTCTAGCTCAGCTGCTGCCATAAGCATTCTCATTGTATTTCTGTCCTGATACCTGACTGCAGGATCCTGAATGCAGAGCTCTGGCATTGAGAGTATCCTGACAGTCAGAGCAGATCATTTGTGTCCACTTCTTTGAGATGGGCAGGCTCCTTAGACGTCCTCTGTTTGAATCTCCCCCTCTCCAGCCAGTCTGCTCAGGATATGACTTTCAGGGACTCTGATTTGGGAATAATAGAGTGATGCAATCTGGGTCAGCTCCATCTCAACACAGAGTGCTGAGTTTCTGGTGTGAGCAAGGCAACCCTTTGAGGTAGCCCCAGATTTGGGGATTAACACAGAGCAATTTAACTGAGAATGGGATGTAAAATCCAGCAGCAGGAGTTAAGAGGAGGGAAAGCACAGGATTTCACAGGGAAAGATGCTTGAGGTAGAGAGTGCAAACTTTTCTTTCCAGGTACTCTTCAGTTCCCCAGCTTCTCTGAAAACTGCAGTGCACATCTTCTCCCTGTCACATCACCTACCAAGGCAATGATCCAGCTCACATGGTTACAAGTGGATCCTGTTTAGATGAGAGCTCTGTCAAATGTATTTGCATGAGAGCTTCTGCACAGCTGTAGGTTAATAGACAAGCAGGAGGAAGGCCCCATGTGGAGCAGATGCAATGGTGTGTTTCAGACCTAAAGGGACCATGGGATAAAACAGGAGCTGGGCTATCAAGGAGTCAATGGTACAAGGCAATACAGCGTGTTAGCAAGAGATAGAAAAGCAGCCCAGGGGAGAAGAATGGAGACAAGCCTTGGGGCAGATTCTGTTTTTCTCTTTGGCAATCCATGTAGTGAAAAAGAGGGATGTGTCTCTGGAAGAAAGATGGACAATGAGATAAAATCCTGCTGGGGAAGGACAAGTGGAGAAGTGGAGGATTTACTAGCTCAATTTTAAAAGCCATTCATTTTGCTTTTCAAGAGACTCTTAAAAAAAAAAAGCCAATGAGTCAAGAAGTCCTAAATTAATCAGGAAGGCACTTTAGCAAATCAAGGGCTTGGCTATTCTGTGGTTTGCCCTAGATTCAGGAGAAGGTGTAAAATATGCAACAAATACTACAGGGCTAGCTGCCCCCATAGCTCCACCTCATGTGCTGCAATGGGAAAACGTCAGCCCCCTTAAAACCCTCAAGAAACCCACATTAACTTAATGCTGTGATACTGCCCTCAGGAGAAGTCAGAAATCCAGGCACACCTTGCTCAGATGTACCCAATAGGAAAAGGTAGCAGAAAAAGAGAAGTTGTCCCAGGCTCCCTGATCTACAGTGCTGAACTGAAGCGGGGGCAGAAGCTGAGTGTGTGAAGGACCAATTAAGAATTGTAAGGGCACTGGGAACATGCTGCCACTTCACCATATAGCTATGCTACAGCTTTGTGGGTGACCTTGGAAAATGACAAAAAGAGTCTTGGGAAGAAGACTGGCTGGAGAGAATGAGCCAGGACAAACGCGTAAAAAAATTCTCATGAGTCTCTGCAACCCCTCTGTCATTTCCCATTTTTTTATTCCTGCAACACCACTGACCTTGGCTTTTCTCCTTTTCTACTGTCTCCCACTCCCAAACCTGTCCCTTCAGCCTCCTCTCCTACTCTCTCAGATTCTACCTACCTCTGCCAAAGCTTCAACTTCACTTGAATACCCCATAAGCTCTTCCAGCCACCTGACCTATGGCACCAAAAACAGGTTACGAAACCCCTCCATGCTCAGAACAGCCCTGGTCCAGTTGGATTTTGCCTATCTTTTAGAGCTGCCTAAGGATGCATCAACAAACAAGTCAGCTCTGATCCAAGAAGGACATAATTACAAATCAAAGTGAGATTTTACCTTTTTTGTCCCTAATGCCGTCCTTTCCTGAATGAAGCTGGCCTGGGTGTGGGCTCCCTGGACATCTCCTTTGCATTCCAGCTGCTCACATGAACCATGGTAAGGTCAGACATTTTACACATGCTGCTAACTCATTTTCCTGCCCTAACCAGTAAGAAGTAAACGGAGTTTGTGGTGCATGCTAGCTTATCTCCTCCCTTACCAGAACAAAGCTCATAAGAAGGAAATGTGAGGCCTCCCTGAGGGTGCTGGGAAGACACGGTGGATAATAGGAAATTTTTGGAAGGGGATTTGAGAAGTGGATTTTACTCACTCCCCGTATTGATAAAGGCTTATCATATTCCTTTGCAAAACCAGAAACCACATGGCGAGACACTGTTTTTAAATGTTAATGCATCTTTAGAGAATAATCAGTAATGTTTGATGGCTTGAGCTAGCGCTAGGAGAGGCTTCTTTGTTGTTTAAGAAATGAAACAGCATTCATCTGGAGTTTCTTGTCATTACCGGATGAAAGAAAGGTTATTTCTTTAGTGAAAAAAGAAAAAAAAAGAAAGAAAAGAAAAGATCTGAATGATAAACATTATAAAATACTTATCTTTCCAGATTTCTCTGGGATAATGTGAGGTAAAAGGAAATGCTTATCTCACCGAAGGACAGCTTTTGGCAACATAGCTTTTTACACAGTGCTAAATTATTTTAAGAGCACAAGACGAAGGTAGAGGGATCTGCTTAAAAGGGTGAATTACAAACCATAGGTAGTCACCCTTCAAGTCCTCAAGATTGAATCACTGTGTAACCTTGGGTAAGCCAAACAGCCCTGTCTGCCTCAGCTGCTGCACTGGGACAATAACGAGTGAAATCACCAACATGAAAAGGTGTTTTTGTGACCATCTACAAGTTCACTGTACGTGTCAGGTGTATGCATGGTTGTACAAACACAGCTTCCTATATGCCCTGTTATCTAAAGAAGCATGCCCTTGTTAGCTGATAGATTTATGTGTTTTTTTAAGCAATATGTAAGCAAAGTGTGGCTCACCTCCAGGGTCATGTTCAGCTGTGTATCAATAGGCAGTGCTGGCTGTCAGCTGCCCAAAGCAGCCACATCCTCACCTATGAAACAGCAGAAGCCATCCTGGACAGCCTTTGGTTGTTCTCAAGAATGGACCACAGTTTAAAAATAATTACAGGTTTTGATGCTTCCACTTCTGATGTCAAGTAAGGAGTTTCCCAGGAAGCCTGCCTTCTGGAAAACATGAGGGCCTTTAACAAGATATAAAGCCTTTTTAGATATCTCTTGATACATGCATGAAATGGGAGGCCAAAAATCACTATTAATTTTTGATATTCATAGGCATTTCCTTTTTTATTTTTAATTTTGTTTTTTTAAGGTGATGTTGTCTCCTTATTTTGTTACCTCATCAGGAATTGGTCAATTTGCTCTTTGCCTTTTAGACATTTACTTAATTTTCTTCATTCTATAAGCTCTGCTGACAGAATGTAGAAATCATGCTAGGCAAGGAGGCGTCTTTGCTTCCTGAATAGGTGCAATCTGCTTTCTCACCCCAGCAAGCTGCTGTTTTATGCATGACAAAAAGATTCCAGTCTGGGGAGAATGATACCTAATCATTAATAAATAATTTGCACTAAGAAGAATCAGGAGTGAAACTACTGTCTAATGGATAAGCCTGTGAGGAAGTTAGGTTGTTGTGTGACCTTGGATGATTAATTTTACATTCCTGTGTCTATGTTTCTTCCTCCACACAGTCTTCTCTCTTGCCTGCTTCACATTCAAGGTAGTTGGGGCAAGGATTATTTCTCATTATACGTACACTTAACAGCTAGCACTGTGAGTATTACAGCACTGTAAAATCCATGTATGATAAACAATACTCAGGGGCAGAGATAAGAGCGCATCAGATCATGGGGTGCATCGGATCATGGGGTGACGACATGTGTGATAATGAGCCACAGACCTCTTGAGTCCTCTGTCCCTATCTGGGGGCATTCGCTGTGGCTGGGCAGCAGCAAAGCTGGTGCAGTGGGAATGCAACAAGGATATGCTGCTGCAACGGCAGGGTGACAGGGTCGTGCATGTTTGGGAGGGGACAAGATGAGAGAGCAGGGTCATGTGCTGGAGATGGGATGTCTCTTCATTGACAACAAGCTCTACATGTCTGTTGGTGGCACACGCTGGCTCAAGACCTGATTTGTTTACCTCACTTGTAGTATCATCTCTAGAGGAGAAATCTCTGGAAAAAGGTTTAGAAATGCAGACAGTTGGGGACATATTCCCTAGCAGGGCCACTGAGCCTCAGGCACACAGAGCAGCCTCCCACTGCCTTGCCCAGCTCTGATTTTCCCTGCACACTTTTCCCCAGTACATGGGAGCAAGCACCAGTTGCACAGACACACACAGGTCACAGGAAAGAAGGAAGGAAGAAGGAATCTTAAAAACCAAAACCAAACAAAAAACCAAACCCCAAAGAACACAAAGGGGCAAAAGGAGAGAGGAGGATGAGTTTCTTACAGTCAGTTGTGATCTCGTAGGGGGAGTGGAGGCGCGCGTCGCCGCAGGGCGAGGTGCTGACGTACAGATGGAACAGGATGTTCTCCCGCAGCCTGTAGCCTCCCTCTTTTAATCGCACAAAGATTGATTGCTCCCAGTCTTCTCGCCGTTTGCTAGGATCACAAAAGAGGTTTCAGGTCATTTGTTACACACCAAATCAGAAACATCTCTGCTCTCTCGCTCTCTCTCTCTGTTTTACTCCCTCTGTTTGTTTGTTTTTATTAGCACCTAGCATCATATATTTTGCCTAGTGACAAGAAGAAAAAACCAATAAGCTTCTCCAGGTGAAGAAACATGTGAAGGGGGTCAAAACTGTCGAAGTGCTTCTGGCTTGCTTCCCTAGAATATATTCTAATGATGAAATATGTGGATTTTTGAAAGGTAACTCTCCTTCCTCTCATGCAGGGATGCATAAATACATTGCTTTTAAAGGGGTTCTGGTGCATGAAGAAAGGAAAAGTTCTCTTAGGCTCTCAAGTGAACAAATCAGCTCTGCTCATCACAATGCCTAGACACGTGTTTAAAACCCATTAACATCACTGCAACCGAGATGTGTGTTTATATGCTCCACTGAAAAGGGTCTCTAATGAAGCACCCAGATTTTACGACCCTTACCAACCCTCCCTGCTCCCCAAGCACTGCTTTTCTTCCCTATTCAACCAGAACCACCTATAAGTGCTCCATCTAAGCTGGCGGCATCCTCTCCATCACTTGGCATTTTTGGAAATCAGAAGCCATTCTGAAGAAGTGAGGACAAAAACTTGTGGAGGCTTTTCTCAGCTGAGTGGGAAAAGATACTTACTAAGATGAAGCTTTTATCTTTGCAGTGGTTCAGCAGCTAGATGGGGACACAGTGCACATATTCCATTAGCAACAGCTGCCCGGGAGGCCAAACCCTCCCAGTCCTGCAGTTTGCAGCAATAGCTCACATTAAGGCTATGCTGCCGTGCAGCCTGCAGATGATTTACATTTGGGAAGATATGGGTGATTTCTCTGACAGACAGCTGCCTCTAATATGTACATTTGGGTGATGGTCATGATTATAATTTTGAAGGTGAAAATGTGATTAGTGAAATTATGAATAAATTATTTCCCTCTAATGCCCCAGCCCTTCCCTCAAAAACTCAAGGGTCTTTTTGCAGGAATATCTCTGAACAGAATGGCACCTGCAGGTAATGATTTTCTTAGAAGGGCTTTAATAAGGCAGAATCCTGCCTGTTTAATTCACTACAGGATAGCCCATTAAGCAAGGTGATTTCTGCTGGTTTCTCTGCCTCCCGTTAGTTTAAACAGGGGTGCTTTCTGCTGAGCCTCGGTCCCTGGCTTTAATCCAAGCTGCCTCTGCCTGTTTTCTCCCAGTGCAGCCTCTGTGCTATTGAAGCTGTTTGGCTGTCACTCTTCCATGGTTTGGGTGTTTTGTCATTTTTTGATGCCGGGATGCGTTTGCTGTCAGGAGGAATTTACAGGCACATTAGCTCGGCTGTCAGAGACAGGGAGCCACAGCAGCTGCCGAGCTGGAGCAGCCACATGCAGCTCCTTCATTTTCTGCTGGCTGTGGTGGAATGTCCCACCTGCACTAATTACATTATCGCCCTGATACAAGCCTCCGAAATAATAAAATACCTGTAAGTCCTGCTGCTTGGACTTTAGAGCAATTGCAGTTAGTTTTAAATAATTCACTGCAAAATCAGCTGGGAGAATACAAAGCTGCAATCCTAATGCCTGCTATTATGATGTTAAACCTCACCAGAATGGGGGGGCAGCTTGTGGTACTTAGAAACTGTTGCTATGTAGGGTTGGAGCAGTCATTCTTTGGGCTGGATTTCAGGAGTCTGCAGTAATCAGCACCCATCCTGTTTTTACTGGTTGTTGTTTTTCATGGATTAACTTCAGTCTCTTCCCTCTCCCTGGGTAGCAAGAAGGGTCTGTGGCCAGTGTGGCTGGATGTCTGGGAGATAGCCAGCTGCTCTAAAAGTAGATGGTAGGGCTGGAGGGCAAGACAGCTTGACTCTTCTTCCAGGAGGCTGAGATCCTCCATATCACATATGGTCCCGATGTGCCTTTGGGTTGTTTTTCTGGGGACTGAACTCAAACCTGAGATTCACCCCTGCACTCGAGCTGAATAGGTTTAATAATGAGACACTGAGAGTATTATTATAAAAGAGTTTGAGATGCAATACTGTCTGCTGTGGCTTAGTGGAGGTTCCTGTGTATGGGATGCTTAGGGAGTTTCAAAGCCTGGGAAGACACAGGCACCCTGCAAAAATGGTCCGGGTGGACCATGAGATGCACTTCTGCAAAGTCAGTTCTCCCTCAGAACCAGCACACTTCTGTCTTCTGTCTGGGATGTCATTTTGAGCTGTGAGGAGGAGAATCAGTTTGCAGCAGCAGCCCTTTGCAATGCTGCTTTGCACAGCCATACACACCTGCACAAAGCAGTGAAGAGAGAAGCTCACAGTGAGCCCACAAATGTCATTCGTTCAGGGGGTGGCAATAATGTGTCATTTCTACATGCTGGTGGTGGCTAAAAGAACACAATTTATCCTTATGTTTGCCTGTTATGAATTTCTGTGGGATACGCAGGAATTGAGGCTGATTTAAGAGAGCCATTTAAGAACGCGTTAAATTCTAATCTTGTGCTTAAGTTAATCATTTAGCATAACATATGCATACATTTTGAGCTGACTTCAAGAAGATACTTAAGCACATACTTATGGTTTAATATATGCAAAATGTTTTGTTGTAACACGGCCTTAGTCTCTAAAAGAGAAGCAGAGGAAATGTTTTTCAGGCTAAAATTTCCTTTTCAGGAAATATTTTTAACCGGCTAAAAAGGGAAGGAGCTGTGTCCATTAAGTGGCTAGTAGGACAAAAATAAGAAATAGTAGATGTATGACAAACAGATGGTTTTCCTAGAAAAAAAAACCCTTAACTGGACTGAATGAAGACTATTCCTTGCTTTTTATATGTTAAATAGTGGTTTTCATATGACTCACTGGAAGAACTTAGATTCTGGTAAAATCATCCCTCTGGCACCTGCAGGGCCAGTACAGCAGCAAGACTGCTATGGTGCTAAATTATTTTAAGAATAGGCTCTTAGTATAAATATTCTTTAAGAAAGAAGACCTGGATTTTCTTTTTTTCCCTATTGGCCAGCTTGTATAAATAATCCCACTGCAGTCAATGTGAATTTTACTGCCATCATGGCACGAGAATCAGACTGTGTTATTTGTGTACTTTTCGATGGCGATTTTTAGAAAAAGCTTCTCAAAAGGTCCTTCTGGTCCTTCTTTTGTACATCAGAAAATTTACGTCTTACTTTTCATCTCTTTCATGAAAGTCTTGAGAATTGGAGGATTATGGTTGTCATAAAAATGAAATCTGGGAGGGCTAAGGGTTTAATCAGACTGGTTAGGAGCTGTCAGGTTTTAGTTGTGCTTTTAGCTTTTATTTAACTCGAGCTCTAGACAATGAATTGTTGAAAGAAAGTTTCCTTTTGAAGTATTTGTCACTCTTGCTTCTTAGAGAGGATAAAGTTGCCATTCTGGAACTCTCTTTCCCAGGGAAAGTCAGGAAAGTGACACCTCTAACATTTAGTAATATGAAGAGAAGGAGTAAAAAAAGTAATTTGCATATTGGTGCAACTTTGGCTCATGGATGGAATTGTTATACAGTTTAAATATCTGAAGCAGTCACTCTTTGCCCTCTTTACAGACATGGAAAAAAAATCACCTCAGTACATGGTGATTCATCTCACCCACAACAGATACTTGAAGAAGTCTTCTGAGTCCCACTCCAGAGATGTCCATCTCTCTACACTGCTGGTAAAAGGAGACTTGGGGATCTAGCTCACACTTGACTGACTAACTTTTAGACAACTTAAGTGAGGTGTCAAGAAGTAAATTCAACTCAGTGAATCCATCTCTCTTGGCCAATAATCATCTATCCCGGCCCGTGCTTTCTCCAGCCTGCTTGTCCCTGTTCTTTGAAGCCTTCATGGTACACACAGAATGTTTTGCTTTCACTGAGGTCAACAGTAGTATTTGTAAATTCTAGAAAAGTGGCTCCTTTTCAAGGGCAACACCAGGTAGCAAAATGTTGTTCTGGAAGTTCTTGAAGTTCGAAATCCAGCTGTGGACACCACTTTGAAGAGGTAGACTTGGTGGGAGGAAGATATGTGGAAAACAGGGAATACTCTTGAAAGAAGAATCTTGCCTGTTCTGTAGGGAGGGGTGGAAAATTTAATCTCTTTGAGGCAAGAGCTATGCTTTTGTTCTTTTTTGGGGGGGGTTAGGGAACTATCTTTTTCATCTCAGTTCATACATGACTTGGTACAACATCCTCCTGGCCTGGGTGAGGAACTCAAAAGCCCTGGGAGAGGGCTTTCATTTGGGCTAGGTCAATGCAAATGCATAACAGTGCAGAAGCCAGATTTGCGTTTCCCTCAAGCCTGAGGAGCTAGTATGCACAGAGTCCCCGTGGAGCTGAGTTAACATGTCTGTCCTAAAAAACCTGTCCTTTCAGCTATGCGGTAGCACCATGTGATTTCTCTGCCAGTGGGGATTGTCTCTCTTTTTCTAGATTAAAAGGGGTCAATGTGACTCTAATGTGCAGAAAATGCATTTTTCATTTGGAATACTCCTGTTTTCTCACCATATGACAAAGCTCCCAGTGATGGCATAAAGCTGAATGTAGCAATAAACACTAGAATTGAAGAATATATTATAACACTCAGGTTTGCTTCCACATGGATTTTAAGAAAGCAAAACCTGATTGACAATATCTCCATCTCTGTCTTTCAAATATGCTTAGCCTTGACAATTTTGGCTGATATTTTTATTGTGTGTGCTGGTCAGGGAAGCAGTGGTGCCTGCTCTTGGATGAACAGAGTGATTTGAAGTTATTGTGAACAGAGGTGCTGCACTGAGGATTCTCTTAACAAAAGACTGTTAACATTGATCCAAATAAAATAATAATATGACTGAGCATGTTAGGAAGGTGGATCAATACAATAGTTTAAGATACAGTGGTAGCACTTGTTTCCCAAGAGACTGTAACACAAAACAAGTACCAGGGCTGCTACACTGCTGAAAACATAATCATTTAATGTAAAGCTGAAAGCAATTCACATTGAAATAGAATATTGGTTTTGATTAAACCCTTCAAGGCTCTGGTCCCCCTTTGTTAGCCAAGCTCATCTACTCAAATATACTCTCTTGTCTTCAAGTCTAGCCTGAAATGAAAATAACCATTATACCTATTGTTGTTGCTTCAGTGCAACAGTATCATAGGTGCTCACAAGAACACGCAATCCTGCCTAGATTAATCTTTGTGTCTGTGACCTGATGTAAAACCTTCTGAAGTCAAAAGGAGATTTTGCACTGAGGTTGACAACCTTCAGAAAAAGTCTCATGAAAATGCAGGCAAGAATAGAGGGCAGAAGAACGTCCTAAAAATAGGGATTTTTTATTTGTTTCCTTCCCTTCCTTTCTTCCTTCCGTCCTTCCATCCATACGTCCTTCTGTCCTTCCTTCCATCTAATAAATGCCACCTCAGTTTCACTTCTGCTCAGTTTTCATAGGATCGCAGGATAATTCAGGCTGGAAAAGAGCTCAGGTCTCTAGTCTGACCTCCTGCTCAAAGCAGTTTGCCAGGTTGCTCAGTTGCTCAGGGCTTTATCCACTCAGGTTTTGAAAACCTCCAAGACAGGAGGGAGATTGTGCAGCCATGCTGGGCAACTTATTCCACTGCTTGCCTATTCCCATGGGGACGGTTTGTCCTAATATTCAGACTGAACTTTTCTTGTTTCAGTGTGTACCTGTTGTCTGTCGTCTTCCCACCATGCACTTTGGTAAAGATGCTAGCTCTATTGTCTTGTTGGCATATGTTCTACTGGGTCTGCCAGGCCACCTTCAGGCTGACCAGGCTTAGCTCCCTCAGCCCCTCCACACAGGCCAAGTGCTCTGGCCCCTGGGCATCCAGATGGCCTCTACTGAATCTGTTTCAGATGGTTGATGTCTTTCCTGTGTTGGGGGACCCACTACTGCACATGGTATGTAGATGTGGTCTAACGAGTGCTGAGTAGTGGGTGATGGTCTCATCCCTTGACTGACCCTTCAGACAGCCTGGGATCCTGTTGACCTTCTTTGCTATCAGGACAGACTTGTGTGGTACTCCACTTATTACCAGCTTCCAGGCAGTGTATGACCCTTTAACTATCTAAATAGTAACAAGGTGGGTCTGGGTGAAGACAAGAATAGTAATTCCTCTATAATGATTCTACATGCTATAACACTTTAAAACATCATAAAGGAGTGATAGCATCTTGCACTTTGGCACAAAGTTTATTGTACTGTTAACACTCATTGGTTCTCTAGTGAGTCAGTGAAGGCATTAATGATCAGTAACTCACTTCTTTGAGATATTTCATCAGCAGCAAGGAAGACAGGAAAATGGCTGCAGTGAGCAAAATGACCCCCTTCCAGTGTCTGGCCAGTGAATGATGCTAATAAGCCTGCCTGTAAAGATTTGTACAAAATCATCAAGCTTCATAAAACCCAACTTTATGAGTCATATCTAATAGCTGCTGAAAGAAAATCAGCTGAAGTAAAGGAGCTCATGACCCAACACTCTAGAATATCTAGCTCTCTTTTTTTTTCTGTGCAATGTATTGGTCTTTCATCACCTAGAGACTCAGAAACAACAACATAAAGAAACAAATATTTCAAGTGTCCGGAGGATGGATCTGTTCCACTGAAGGCCATATAACATTCCCAAGCATCAACAAAATTCAGTTACCTTAAGTGTAGCTCCAACTGTGAGTAGAGGAAGTGAACAAATGCCCTTCTTGCCACAATTTCTGCATGGCAGTCATTGACCACAAGCCCTTGGTCATTAATGTATTCCCCATTTATGCATTTGGTACCCGACGACAGCACAATAACCTGAGCTTGCCTGATGTCCAAACCTGTGGAAAGAAAAACAAAAGGGTTGTGAAATTGCTGTGGGTGAGTATGATATCCTGATTGCTAAAGATCTCACAGCCTACACTTTGATATGGCGGCCGAGACAGCCCTAATGAGATGCTTCTTACGGTGATGATATGGCCTTTGGAATATGCAGGAATCTCACATCTCTGTGTTATTAGAATAATAAGGGCTCTATTTCAGTCTTGTTGCTAATTCCAAGATAAAAGCTTGCCATGAAGTTTACTTGTTAAATCAATAACTACATCATAGGAGAGCATATGCTGTAGGGAGGTAATAAAGATCTCCTGCAGTGCTGACAAATGGCCAGGTTTTTATGAGCTGTTGAAGACATTTTCTGGTGGGAACATACACTCCCTGTAATGTTAGGTTTCATTGCTGTTGCACTGTAAGCATTAAATAAAATGCAAGTAACACTTCTGGAGCTGCTTTTTAAAAATCTCAAAGTAAAAACAGATTTGACTTTCAGTCCAGTTTCCTTTTTTTTTTTTTCCAAGAGCAGTTACAGTGGTGCCTTTTACACTGTGGTCTCAGGGACAGAGCATTCATCACTGAGATCAGATTTGTTCCTCCATTGCTTTGCCAGATAACAGTGATGGCAACCAAAAGATATGCCTTTCTTGGTCCAGGTAGACATTTGCTAGGATTAAATCCTGATTTCTTTGGAGTCAGTGGCAAAATGCTTACAGACTTCAACAACAAATTTCAAGATGTATCTTTCTGAATATCAAAGAACAAAAGAGCAGCTGGGAAAAAGGACTTTTCTGGCTGATGAATGGTTCCTTTAGATATGACAAATTAGTCAAAGAGTGTTGGGCTGTGTTTGAGAGCTGAACACAACAATTGTGTGTAGGCAAACATGTACAGTACAGTTAGTCAGACTGCTGGAGCTGGCATGGTTGCACCCATGTAGCGTCCACTGAGGTGACTTTGGTGGCCTGCCTAACCTCTGACTGCTGCTGCAAGGAAGTAGGGATGAACAGGAAGTTCTGCACCCTCCTCATGCATCAGTGGAAACTCAGTGGAAACAGATGTCCACATTTGAGCAACTGAATCAAGCCCTCAAATTCTGATGAGTCAGTGATGAAGACAGGCCTGAGGCTGCAAGTACCCGTAGGAGAAATGGAAACCATCTCACTGTGAGACATGGTAATGCTCTTTCTATTATGTTACTTTAGCTGCATAAAAGCTTTAGGAATTATTTTTTCTTACACTGAAGCCTCCTGAGTGGCAGAAAAAAACAAACTGCAGAGAGTTTTTGGGTTGGGAACACTATGACTGGGGTCACGGTCTTTCAAGGTCCATTGGTGTGATATGAGAAAACATATGAATGGAGAAGGAAACTAGGAATCTATATTTTAAACATAAAGGGCTAATGCTGTCAGTGATGCCCCAGTTAGTAAATAGGACCAATAATACTTCATAATCTCCACACAGCAGTACTGGTGGATGACATGCTATATCACTGTTGCCATGCTTAATGTATGTAATAGCAAATGATACCAAAATTATGTCATGCTTATATCAATATGATAGCTACATCAGTAGTCAAAAAGGTTCAGTAGTATTGTGGCATTGCAGCATTGTGATGTGTGTGGGAGGTGTCAGTATTGTGAAAAATTCTGTTTATCACACCCAAGCCCCTGGTGTGACAGTCTCATACAGAAGTTGTTATAGGTACTAGTGACAAAGTACATGTCATTGCATGCCTGTGTCAGAATTTTATTCTCTATTTGTCACTATAAATGTGGCCCTAAAAAGTGTTTGGGACTATGTCTTAAAAAAACAAAACCAAAATCCCCTGGCAATTTAGAATATCTAAGAACTAAAGGTGGGAGCACATGAAAGAAGCCAGTGGAGAAATGGAGAAATGCAATTCCAAAACATTTGTATTTATTCCAGTTTTATTACTAGCTAAAAAGTTGAGGTGTTCAAATGGCTGCTTCCCTAAAAAACAAGCTATTTATGCTCTCTCTGTACGTACAAATTGCTTTGATGTCACTTTGCTTTGGGATCACTGTTTTCACGAGAAAAATAATAGGTGTCTTACATCAGATGTGTCCATCTAGTTAACTGTTCTTTAACATTTACTAATACCAAACATTTCATGAGGCACTGCCTGCAACAGAGGTGTTTGAGCCCCACTCATAAGTCCAAAAGTAGCATATACTTTCCTGAACAGTGTATAGTATTTTCCTTGGTTGGGAGGTCCGTGATAAGAATAAGACATTTTTTGATTTAATTTTATTTATTTACCAATGTGGACAGAGTCTTATTTTCCTCAGCACAGCAGAATTACACCAGGAGGCAATTCCCTGGTTTAGAAATCCATGAGCCTCTCTGCCCATGTGTGAGAACCTCGGTCAATACTCCTTCTCAGGGCAGTGAGACCAGCTGCTTCCTTCTCCTTACATTAGCATAGCCTTAATTTGCCTCCCCACTTCCCCCTTCACCTCACAGTCAAAACACCAGGCTCTGCAAATACAGAACAAACCACCTGGGGAAGCTGTCCTGCTCTCCTGCTCCCCAGAAGCTACACCTTACCCCTCCCAGCCAGTCCAGTACGTGGTGTGATGCCTTTCATTACCTCAAACATTTTATCCACAAATAAGCTTTACTCTTTCTCTCTTTTAGTATGAGTGCAAGATGATGAATGCACTGAGGGTTTTCCGTGAGGTCTGGTTTTATTCACAAATGAAACAGAAAGGCACCCAATGGCTACTGATGCAGCAATAATATGAATCCCCCTGATGTTTGCTATCACAATGTCCACCTGTACAGTAATGGCAAGTGTGCTTGAGGTGTTCATTTTTGGGTGAATTAACTCCATATATTTGCATTCGGTGATACGGGGCCCTTGTAGGTAGTCACGTGTGGACACAGCCTGGGGTGTCTGCCAGTCCTGGCAGGGTGCATGTGTTTGCAGAACATCTCTTAGATGTTGCCTGGGGCCGGAGGCAATGGTTTCTGAAAATTTGCAGAACCAGTCTGAGTGTTAAACATTAAACAACTCCATGTATTTTCCATTTGCAGTGACAGAAAATAATCCATGTTCCTCCATGCCCAGAAATACCCAAGAGTCTTGCTTCACTACCATGGCACTCGGAACACTGGTGTACATGACTTATGCATTAGCTCTGAAGTATTTCCACCTCACTGGGGAGCCAAAGGGGGAAAGTGATCTGTGCCCAAGGCAGCACTGCTCAGTGCTGCACGGGAGGGCCCCCAGCATGATAAGAAATACTTCCAGCAACCTGACAGTTGCCGGATGTCTTCAGGAGCATATATGCTAACAGATTGTCCTCTTGCATGCCTTGTTTTGTACGTACATAGAGTTAGAGGTCTCTCCCCTGTTAGATGCTTGATGTTATTTCCAGTTAACATAGGAGGAATATGTCTCTGAGAATAAGACGTGATTCCTAGCTGATGAAGGGAAATTTTAACATTGACTGATCACACTGGCATTTTAGGCAGCATTTCCAACTCTTGAGCCTAGATGCTTGCTTCAGTGATTCAGAATTAATGGGCACTTTTGTACAATTGTCTATTTTGCATAAAAAATAGTCATTGCTAACTCACGTTATTAATGCTTATTTCCTATTTTATTGTGGCTGAAGAATACTTCAATTTTCTCAAGTGATTTCTATTTATAAATGTCAAGGTAAGCTCCTAAACATTGATTGATTTAACCTCAGAGACATGGAAGGTCTAGGCCGAGCAAACCATCAAGTTGTGCCTAGGAAGCTACAGCATTGGGTGTGGCAAATCCTGAATTAGCAGTAGCCTGGCACCACCAGCCATATGTCACCTTCTCTGCTTCGGGGTGTAGAGCAGGGTATGATCCTAGATGAGGATTGCTGTTGGCAAGACTCGTGTTCTTACTAAGTAGACCCAATCTCAGATGAAAGACCCAGGAATCTAACTGTGTTCAGGTCATTTGACAAACAAGAAGAAATGAGCTACATTATTATGACCTTAACTCCTGACCCACTGATTGTCAGAGTTCATGAGGCATTTCTTTCCCTCGCCGCCTTCTGCAAAGTAGTGTTTGAGGAGACATTAGGTTAAAAGTAACTAGTGAGCGATTTATAACAGGCACCTGCATTAGGTTTCTATTATTTGCCTAAAGACTCCTAATAGTTTTCAATTTGAAAAGGAAATGGAGCAGGGGAAAGGAAATTGGAGAGCTGTGTCAGCATACTGGCTGGTTTCTGGCTAGTGCTGTGTTCATGGGGACAGCTGGGAGAGTGGGAAGGGAATTTGCCGCATTTAATTTCCAAAAATTCTGCCACTTAATTAGTTGCATTATAGGACAGAAATGTACTCATAAACGACACACCGTCTTTGATCATGGATTCAGTCTAATGATCTGGTGAGGTAACGAGTCTTTCTGGTGCCCTGCTGAAAGCCTGAGCCCCACCCTGGGGTCTAGTAGGCAGGGTCTCCTCTCACAGCCAGGCAGGGGGGACCTCGACCCTCCTAATGTTCATTTTTTATATGTCAGTGATAGTTCAGACTTTCATGTCTTAGATGAGTTGTTGAAAAGAAAATGGGCTTTATTATAAGCCATTTTCAGTTTGCTGATGCCAGCAGTGGGATTAATTTCAGTTATTCTGGATAACCAGAGTTTAGATGTCTATAGCTGTGCTAATTGCTGTAGACTCTCTTTACAGCCAGAGGAGAGGAACTTTCCCGGGAGGTGATTCATCTGGCCTGTTTTAGATATTTGCTTTTGGATCGTCTGCATTACACCTCAGTATTGCCAGCTTCTCTTCAAGAACTCTGAATACCTGTAGACAGCCAGCAGAAGAATAGCTTTTTACACTGTAGACAAATGTTTTAAGATCTCCCTGTTACAACTAACCAAATACCATGTGCAAATCAAAATTCCCCAAATAGTAAGATGGCAAGCAGAGTAAATGTAGTGCCTTTAAAATTTTGTTTAAACTTTTGGAGTGTTGTTTTTTTTTTTTTTTCACCC